CCATATCCTTATGGTTGACTATGGTTGAATTTATAAAATGGCAAATTACAATCAGTATTCAATTCAAGAAAATTTTAAAGTTTAACTGTTTTTCCTCTTCTCGTTTATAAATAAATTAAAATATATCCTTCGCTCATACTATTATACTTTTAAATTTTATTTTTTTGTAGAAAAATGGTGGAAAATGATTAGAAACAGTTTGTTAAGGCAACTTATTGAAGAAGTTTTTCATGTTATAAATTTAAAACTATATTTTTTAGTACAGTTATTCCCAGTTATTTTTAGTACAGAACTTTTTTTTTATAGTTTCTTGAAAACAAGTACAGAGTCTCTCGCATAATTGCGCACCCAATTAGTTGCACATCCCAGTTAATTGCGCGTTTAGGCCCAAAATATTTGTGTTTAAATTTTTTACTGAGTTTTTTATTGAAACTATAATTAGTTCAGAAAACGTAACTTTTCTTTATATTTTCAATATTTTCCTGTGTTAAGTTAAAAACTAGTTTTTATCATAAATATTTTAAGATAATGATTTTATCAGAACGTAAATAAATAAATAATTCTAATTTAAGTTCAAATCGAAGTAAATGATAAATCTTGCTTTAAACAGATAATAATAAGTCTTAACGATTTATCCAAAAATATACTTTAGCCTTAGTTTCATCCGACACCAAAATGACTCAACATGATTTGTTGTCGCTCCAGTGTCAGAATCAACAAAGTTTATTGAATGGTTTACAGTGAAATGATTGTAATCTAAGTTATTTAAATTAGCATATGAAGCCCACTGATCTGATTGTTTTATTGATCCAGGTGCAACTAATTGTTGAATTATAGGCACTAATGTCTGAGCTGTTCGATCTTCTACCCTTCGTATCCTTTCTTACTAGTTATATCAAATGCCCCAAAAATCCAATGTTTTTCAACGTTATGCCCAACATTATATTTTCGTTTAAAAATTAAAGATTCATCTATTTCTACAATGAGCCCTGTACCACCTAATTGATTCACAGCAGCAACATCCACAGTTTTAAATGAAAAAATATCCCGGAAGTACTGATACCACTGAATTGAGGTTTTTTCGTTCACACCTACTACCTCAGATGCAGCGGTTACAAGAACCTCCAGAACCCATAAAAACATTAATTGAAGTATCAGACTTACACTTAAAGATATAGAGTTTTCAAAAAATTCTGCTCAAATTGACTTCGTTGCATCGCCAAATATGTTTTTCCTTAAATCAAGTAGTTTAAAGATACAAGGAATAATCTGTTTTGTGTAAATAATAATAAAAAAGTTAAGTAAATCATACTTGACAACGTTCATACTTTTGCACAACCAATCTTTGACCACATAGATAAGGATTTTAAAGTGGCATTAGCCTTTTTTGTTGCAAAAAATCAACCAATATTTGTTCTTTGATACTTTCAATGAACTCAGCTAAAGGTGTCATCTTACTTATTTTGAAGGCAGTAAAAACTTTTATGTTAAATTTTCATTCGTTCATATTAACGAATCATAAAACGGCAAAATTATCGTTTCGAACTTTACCGAGTTCGTCTACGAACTTCACTGAGTTTAGGGTGCGCCGTGTACAGGTCCGCTCAGTTCTCTTCTTCCAACTTTTTTTATCCTTACTTCTTATGGCTAAAGGCAAAGGAAAAAGGTTATTAGAAGATCAAAAGAGTCGAAATTATAGCTAAACTTAAAAAAAGTGATGCGCCAAGCAAACGAGCGATTGCAAGAGAATATAATGTAACTGAAAACTCAATTCAATCTCTCTGGAATAATTGAGATCAAATAGAAAAAAGAAGTTTTCTAAGGACAGAAGATGCTAGAAAAAAAGTGTTTCGATTATCGTCTGGAAAATTTAAAGCAATAGAAAATGAGACTTATTTGGATTGATGCATTGCGATATAGATATTCTCTGTTTGCGACATAGATATTCTCTGTTAATGCCTACTGAGAGCTTAGTAATTACAAGAGGTAAATAAAAATCTAAAGACTTTAGTTGTTTGCTCCAACGCAACAGTATCTCTCAAAATACCCTGTTCTATGATTGAAAAAGCTGCTCGACCTGCTTGTATAGTTGGTAGAACATGGCATATACAGTATTTTTGTCAGAAAAATGCATGGATGGATGTCTCTATATGTCAGAAATAGTTCAATGAAGTCTTTTATCCTGAAGTTAAACGCAAAACTGGCTTGCCTGTTCTTTAATTATTTGACTATGCACCTGGACATTTTGAGGCTTTTAAGCGAAATCTTGTAGAAGTTGTTTTCATCCCTGCAAATTGCACAAGTTGGAAGCAACCATGTGATAAATATCCACATCTCTCAGACATATTGTCATATTACAGCCTCGATGTAAATACAAAGGAATGCTGCAGCAAAAGAAAAGCTGCAGAATGCATATCAGTCTACAATTTATGACTTTTTCCGTCATGCATAATATATTTCTTAATAAATATTTGTTTATATAGTTAATAATTTAGTTTGCTCAATTTAAATCTTTTTCTTATTTGGGCACTTCTAGTTATTTGCACACCGCAGTGCCTGTTTCAATTTGCGCAATTAAGCGAGAGACTGTACGATTGTTTTATTTCTCTCAAGTTGAACGTTCTTTTAGTCGAATCGTTTTGCTTGGTCCCTTTGGGGGTTCGAGTTAACCGACAGACTCATTCGTTTTTCTACGGGAACGGGATGGGAAAGTAAAAAATAATCACGCGAGCATGTGTAGTAAAAGTTTTTATATTTATTTATTAAAGAAAACTGCTCATGCTCACGTAATTATTTTTTCGTTCCCTTTTCCTTTCCCGTAGAAAAACGGATGAGTGGAAACTCACCTTTACAAACGTCGTGTTTAATTATTTTTTTGAAAATTTTTTTTGACCAACGGAGTCATGAATGTTGTCGGAAAGATACATAGCCTAAAATCTAGCCAATTTTTGATTGGTTTTTGTAACTCAAACATTTTTTTTTCTAAGAATTTTTTTTCGGTTTTATGATACTTTCACTTGGATTTTATAAGAATTAAAAGCGATGAAATCAAAGCGATCGCGGTAAACAACACTTATTCATTAACTGTACTTAAGTTTTACAAACTATAGTAAACTTGAATGATTAAAATAAAAAAATTTATACAATTTGAACTCAATTAGAAGTACCGGTTGGTGAGTCTGATATTTGTGGTTCTAGTAACTTTAATCAGTTGGTTTTTGTTTCTGAAAAATGCTTTTTATGGATTTACAAAATATTCCGGTTCTGCTAGCCTCAGCAAGAGATCTACGAAATTAAAATTATTTAATTTCTATACTGTTGAGTTCAATAAGATTTTTTTTATTTTGCGAACAGAAGTCACACATAATTTTTGGAGTTCAATTTTAACAGTTAGGAGTATGAACATAAAAACTCTGAACTTTGGTATGTCAATAGATCTTTCTAAAAATTGGTATAGCTTTCATAAAGTTCTTTCAAAATTGAATAATAAGAATCCGAGAGAACTTTTTGTATTTTGTAAAAACCGAAGTTTGAACTATTAATAAAAATTAACTAAGAATTCTTCCTTAATAAAATAAACAAATAATCTGACCTAGTATAGTAATGTTAATTTTGATGACATTAAATTAAAAATAAATGCTATATGGGAATGGGAGGGGGAATATTTATTAATATAAAGTAAAAAATTATTTATTAAAAACAAAAGTTTTTAACAAAACTAAAAAATAGAGTTAAAAAGTTCATACAATAATTATTGTTTTGCAGTACTAAGTCAGAAAACACTTAAGTCTAAAACAATCTAAAACTGCTTTTTTCACAACTCAAGTAACTCAGAAAACACAACCTAAAACAATCCAAAGGTACTTTTTAGGCATTAAGTGTATGCTGAGAAGCTATTTTAATTTTTGCAAATGTTTTTTTTTTTTAATAATAATAAAAAAATATGATAAATTTATTTAAATTTTTTTTTTAATTTTTACTCTAATTTTTTAGTTTTTAATGATTTCCAAAATTTTATTTTAAATATTTTGTAATTAATTCAGTTAATTATTAAACCCAATATATATCAATGATTCAAATTATCATCAACTTAAAATATGCTCATCAGAGATGCAGAAATAATCTAAATTCAATTCCAAGTACCAAGAAAAACAAAGATTCAAACAAAGTAAATTATTAACCATGAAATAATGATAACAAAAAAAATCAGATTAGTTGAAGAAAATAAATGATAACTCTTATTTTAGATCAAAATTGAAAATTACTAAATAGGGAAATATATATAGTTTAAATATATATATTAAATGTATAAATAGACAAAAAGGTTGATACCTGTTAACAAAGTGTATATCTGTTTTTAAAAACATTCAAAACAAACTGCTACAACTAATTTTTTTTGGAATAAATTAAATGTGTTTTGTAAGCAAAATATAAATTTCATATGAGAAGTATTCTGGATAAAATTACAATATTGCAATTTTATCCAGAATACTTCTCATATGAAATTTATATTTTGCTTACAAAACACATTTAATTTATTCCAAAAAAAATTAGCTTTTAGCAGTTTGTTTTGAATGTTTTTAAAAACAGAACATGGTTCCAATTGTGAAAATTGTATATCCTTAATAGTATCAGAGAAAATCATATGTTTTCCACAATTTGAAATCAGGAAATGATTACTGAAAGCATAATCAAATTGAAGAATACTTAAAAAACTTGATTTTCAAAACTGTCATACATATGTTTTGTTTATAATTCATATTTTATGATATACATACCCTGCAAGCATATGCATTATAAAACTTATTAGAATTATCTAGGGTAGTATTTGTTAAAGTTAAGAACCTGTGTTTACTTTAAGGATTCTTCAAAATAAAAAAATTGAAGATAAAGGAAATTTAGTTCTAGATAAGTTTAAAACCTTATAACAAACATTTTGTTCACATCCGTTTATATAATACGAAAATTGTTTTATTTAATTTTCTTATTCTGAATTTTAGAATTTCCTGATCAATCCAACAACACAATTATTGTGAAGATGACAAACACAGTTTCATTTATTGTAAACTATTGTGATGTAGTTGTAACAGCATCAAGTCGAGAAATTTTATCTTGTGAAACCAGGTACTCAAAGTTTATGTTAGAAAAATAAAAATTATGCATTATACTGCATAATTTATAAATAAAAATTATGCATAATTTATACATACTGTTAAATCATTACTAAAATAATAACAAGAATAACACTGTTTTTGTGTATATTTAGTGCATTATACTTTATATATTATACATTTATTAAAGAAAACTTCTTGATGGTGAAGTTACATTTGATTATAAAATTGGAGTTGTTATTAATGGTGTTGAGGTCCCATCAAATGTTTACTTTTATGTAAGAGTTCTTTCTATATATTAACTTATTTATTAATATTTTAAAAATAATTTTCTAAAAACATAATTTAAATTAAAAAAAGATAAAATTTTATATCCTGAAAATGTAATTTTTTTTGCAAATAGATTATATTATAAATCAGTGGGATGTATGTATGTATGTATATATATATATATATATATATATATATATATATATATATATATATATATATATATATATATATATATATATACATACATACATACATATATATATATATACATATATATATATATATATATATATATATATATATATATATATATATATATATATATATATATATATATATATATATATATATATATATATATATATATATATATATATATATATATATATATATATATATATATATATATATATATATATATATATATATATATATATATATATTAGGGTGGTCCAGATTTGTGTGGTAAAAAATCAAAATAAGCCTACATTCTCTCCACAAGCACAATTTTGTTCGACTATGCTTAGAGAATAACCATATAAAAAATTGGACCAATTTGAACAGTTTTAAGGGTCGCTATGATTTTATCATTTTTTTGACAATACTCAATTTTTAAGAATTTATAAAAATTTTTGTGTAATTTTTGCATATTTGAAAATCCCAACACTGGTAAATAAATTAATGCTTGCTGAAAAGCAGATGCTATATGAATTCACTTGTATATCTAATATTTTTTAGTTATCTATAATTTGGTGCCCAATTTGTAATAGGCACATGTCTGCAGTATTTCACTAAACCATTTATAATGATTATTTTTTTTATTTCTTGTAACACATATTTTTATTTTTTTATACTTGATATTCTTATATCAACAGATTCATCATTTATAGCAGTTACTACAAGAAGCTCTGGAGAGGTATAACTGATTGGGAAGGCATCTAAGCAGTTCTCATCATCAAGATTGGTAACAAATAGAGATGTTCTCTGGTGTCTCCTCCTCCATCATCTAGAAGAAAATCACACAATATAGGAGAGCATTCATCATATAATTCAAGAGCTGATTGTGATGTGGAATAAGGCAAGAATCCCAACACAAAGAATTGATTCTGGTGAAAGATTACTATAGGAAATTATACAATTCCTATCAACTTCTAAAAAAGAATTGAGCTATAGACCTGGAAAGCTATAGAATTAAAGAACAGATGTTCAAGGACACACTTTATGAGCTTTTTGACTTGGCAACTAAAACCGCAATGGAGACAATGACCATTGCTGAAGAAGGCAATTTCTTGCAATGCATCGAGAAGATGTTACCAGCTGCAGGATGGCCTGAGTTGATATGAACCTACTGGCAAAGGAAGCCAGAAAGAGAGCTCAAGATCAAGCATTTGATGCAAGGTTATTTAAACAACAACAATCCAGTGGTCATGTTTGAGTCAACATCAGCAGCTCAGAAGACAGTCAAGACAGCAATGGTGACCCAAATTTTGAGATTCTGTCTTCTGCATTGCAATTTGTTTCTTCTACACCAAAGCAAAAGCGTTTGAAAAGTATTGTGTCAAGCCCAGAAGTTGCTGGAGCTTTGGACAGAGTTAACCTTCCAGATCTCAAAGCTATGTTTGTTGTTGCTTCAGTGGCTAAAGCACTAGGACATCCTCTTGCAGACTTAAGTTTGTCTCAATGTAAAATCAGGAGATCTCGAATGTCTACTCGTAAACACATTACTCAGAATGACAGACAACTTTTCCATTGAATTTCCGTTGCTTCTACACTGGGATGGGGAACTGCTTTCAGATATTACTGGTTCTAAAGAAACTGTGGATCGCGTTGCAGTAATTGTAACTGGAAATGGTTTGGAGAAATTGCTAGCGGTTTCAAAAATTGGAAGAGGAACAGGAGTGGAATAAGCAGCAGCTTGCTTAAAGGTCTTGGATGATTGGAAAATTCGAGACAAACTTTAGGGTTTAGTCTTTGACTCAAAATCATCTAACACAGGTATTCACAAAGGAGCATGTGTTTTAATCAAGGAAGCAGTTGGTCGTGAGCTTGTAAGTATTGGTTGTCATCACCATGTTCTGGAGGTCGTTCTGAGCAATGTCTTTACAGCTCTCTTTGGTGGAACAGGGGGACCTGAAGTTGGTTTCAAAAGAAGTGCCATATATTCAGCAAGAGAAATTCTCTCCAGCTAAAGATGAGCTCTTTATTGGAGATATGGAAGTCCTTTCAAAGGACTTTGAAAGTAGCATTCTACACCAAAGCCATCAACGAAAAGCAACCTAGGGAGGATTATCTTGAACTACTTTGGTTATGTCTGGTCTTCCTTGGGGAAGACTCTGTTGGTGCTGAGAAAACATTTTGCGCTCAAGGAGCGATGCATCATACTCGATGGATGTCAAAGGCCATCTATGCTCTGAAAATGGTATCATTTCAAAATCAGCATACTCTGAATGTTCAAGAGAAAAAAGACCTAGTAGAGCTTGCATTGTTTGTGGCATTAATTTATGGACGTTTTTGGCACGAAGCTCCGCTGGCTGCAAATGCTCCGTTTAATGATGCTCAAATGTTGAAACAGATCCAAAAGTATCCAAACCGCACAATTGCCATTGCAGCTTTTACTACATTTTCTCAACACCTTTGGTTCTTCTCAGAACATCTTAAAGGTCTGGCATATTTTGATAGTCGGGTTGATCTGGATGTGAAAAGGGCTATGGTAGTTAACCTCCAACTGCCCAAAACAAATCTAGCACTGAAGAGAGTAGGTTCCAGGAATACTGACTTCAACAGACTAGAGACATTTGTGACTATGAGAACCTATAGTTTATTCGAGTTGTTGGTTGTTGAGCAGTATAAGTAGAGAAGAGGCCAAAAAATTCATTTCAAAAGATCCTAAATATTGGGAAGACAATGAATCATATCAGAAGTTGGCAGAGAGAATCCAAAGAATGAAAGTTGTTAATGACAATGCGGAATGTGGAATTGCATTAATTGGACAGTACAACAAATTGATTACAAAGGATGAAGAACAAAAGCAGTTCCTTCTTTGTGTTGCTCAATGTCACCATCAGCAATACCCTACTTCATCCAAGGCAGCCATGTTGGCGAAAGATGACAAAATTGTTGATTAATAAACATACATTTTTCAACATATTCACAAAATTCTTGCTTGATATTACATTTTTGTTTAAAAAATAAGAACATTGAAATATTTAAAGGAAAATTGATCAGATGATCTGTATTCATAAGATACTTTGCAAGCATTCATATTTACCTGATTTAAATTGTTAGTTTCTTTAATTTTTAAATTTGATATTAAATAATGTGAAAACTTAAATTTTTTGATTTTTTATCATAGTGTTCAAAAAGTCAAAATTTATAGCAACCCCTAAATATTATCAGATTTGCTTCAAATTTGGCTACAGTATTGCCAATATTAATAGGGATAATGGTAGCCTTGTGGAAAAATGAATTTCAATAATTTATAATTTTGGACCAACCTAATATATATATATATATATATATATATATATATATATATATATATATATATATATATATATATATATATATATATATATATATATATATATATATATATATATATATATATATATATATATATATATATATATATATATATATATATATATATATATATATATATATATATATATATATATATATATATATATATATATATATATATATATATATATATATATATATATATATATATATATATATATATATATATATATATATATATATATATATATATATATATATATATATATATATATATATATATATATATATATATATATATATATATATATATATATATATATATATATATATATATTTGTGCATTTACACACACACAAACACACACACGCATATAAAATGGTTTTACATACATGGTCCAATGTGTTCGAGTTTGTTATGGACTACTTTTGAAAAAAGTTACAGGGAATTTAAAATCTTGGTTTAGTTTAGACCCTGGGTTCCATTTTCATAAAGACTTCAGACTCATTTAATTGATAGGTTCCTGTACCCTAAATATCATGATTTGTTTCTTAAAAAAATCTTGAATCTCTCAAAACCTTTTAAGCTCCTGGACACCAAAGCCCAGGTAAATGGTAGCTTTTTGACCTTCAAATCTGGAGTCTTTTTTGGGACTTTATACCCCTTTAATTTAACAACTTTGATGATGTGTTAGTAGTTAGGAATGAAATTAAAACTTGAAGATTGTATTAAATTATTTTTTCTTTGAAAAGTTTTAGTAAATTTGTTAATCTATAAATTGATGTGAAAGTAAAATTATTTATTTAATAAAAAATTTCTTTTTCAGCGTCGTGATGCATGCTCACCAAAGTTGAAAAAAGTTACACCTTCTGCTGGTTTACCTGGTAAAACAATTAAATTCAATTTGTTTATGAACTAAAATACTATCTAACTTTATTAGTATCCATAACTACCTAGCCTCATTGGTTCGCTGTTTGTCCTATCCCTGTTTGTGATCATAATATTTCAGAAATAGATAAATTAAAAATTTTGTTTTATTATATTATTATTTTCTTATTTTTGAAAGTTTTGAAAGTTTTTAAAAACAGAAAAAAGTTAAATAAAAAAAAATTTGTTTTTGTTGGTTTCGTTCTTAGTTTACCTATTATATGAGTACCTTAGTATGAGCCTTACCCATAGTTTACATTACCCATAGTATGAGCCTATCATTAATGATAAACCAAACAAATGTTTTGTTTTAACTATATACTTTGTGTTTGATAACTCTTGTTTAACAAATACAGTAAACAATTTTTTTTTATAGCAAATTCAGTGAATAATTTTTTTTTATAACAAATACAGTGAACAATTTTTTTTATAACAAATACATTACATGTGAACAATTTTTTATAGATTTAATATAATTTTATATTTTGTGTCTTTTGTTGTCTGTTCCTTTTTAACTTTTATCATTCTTTTCTCTCAACAATTTTAACCTGCTTAAATTGTCATTACCCACACTTTTGTAAGTCATCTGATTAATTCTTTTTAAGAATGAAAGGGAATCTTGCTCTTCAGCATTCTATTGCCCTTCATCCTTCTTAACTTTTATCATGCAAAACTAAAGATTCTACCATTGTGAACATTTTTTACTATATATATAAAACAATACAAATTTATTTGTTTTAGTTTTTAGTTTTATTTTTAAAAAATGTTTGAAATTTTAGGTGATATAATTAGACTTGAAGGACTAATATTCTCAACACAAATTAGCAGATTGTCAGCGAATTTTGATCCAAACAACAATGAGATTTCTAAGTATCTTTGCTTTTTTATGTTTTTTTTAATTGTAAAAACAAATGTAAAAAAATTTTTTCTTGTAAAAAAATTAAATTACTTGTATTTAACTCTAACTTCCTTTTAGAAATTATTTTGCTCTGCTCTTGCAAACAGTTTCTGTTTTTTTCTATTTTCTATCTAGCCTAATATTGTTTTGTTGTTTTTATCTTGAGTATGAATTTTGTTTTTTTTTTTTTGTTTTGTTTTTTTTTGTGACATTTTGATGGCATACAGATGATCAGTAAAGCTATCTTTCACGTAGACCAGTAAAGCCATCTTTCACGTAGACCAGTAAAGCCATCTTTCACGAAAAAGTGAAAACTTAAAACAGATTTTAAATAGTTTAAATCAGAAGAATTCACAAAAGACAAAATCAAATAAGGAAACAGAAAAGATATTTAAATAAAGAAATTGTTGATTCAAAATTTAAACTTTTGAGACAGTTAATGTCTACATGTGTGATGGTATAGTGCATCTGTTTGTTCTATCATATTTTTTTGTAGTTGTTTTATTATATTTTAAAAAATTGACAAGATTGAAAAAACACAAAACATATTGTCACATCCAAGTGGAAAATTTGAAACTTCAACTTTAGATTTGTTTCTCTCTTGATAATTTTTGATTGCTAAAATTATGTCATCTACTTCTTAGACCTTTAAAAATGATAGTTATAGAAATAAGATTTTATTTCAGTTTTTTTTAAAAACTCTTTCTATTGAAGATATATGAAATAAATTTTTATGGGATATATTCTAATAAAGACAAAAACTATTTATTTATTACTATTGTAATAAATATAATCTCTTATCCTTGAAAATGATACATCTGTATGTATTATATATATTTTTATGCATTTGTATGCAACGTAATTAAAATTAATCAAAAATGTAAGATAAATGCAAAAGGAAACTTGATGCATAAAGGTTTATTTTGCCACAAACTGATGTCAATGCGCAAAATCTTTTTGGCTTAAATTTTAGATTAGCATAAAGATATATATATATATATATATATATATATATATATATATATATATATATATATATATATATATATATATATATATATATATATATATATATATATATAAAGAGAGAGAGAGAGATCATAATCATAAGAATGAATTTTTTTTATGACTATGTTTTAGTGCTTTAAGATCTTCTTAGTTTCCATTTGCATAGCTTTACATACAAACGTCTGTAAGTATAAACATCTTTAGCATATGTTGAGTTTGCAGGCAATAATCGAATAATTGCCTATATCTATATATCTATAGAATTAGAAAACTTTAAAATTTTGTTTTAAATTTTAGAAATTTTTTTTTCTATACTATTATTTTTCTGCTATAAAAGTATGAGCAAGATAAGCTAAGAGAAGGTCTTAAACCCTTCAAGACAACACTGATGACAGCGCACTTAACCACTGAGCTATCAATGAAATGCATTTAGCAGAAAAACAAACCTAATTATAAGTCTCTTATAAGCACAATGTATGCAGAAAAGGTGGGCATGATTAGTTTTTTGCTCTTAAAGCTTTTTGTTAAAATAAATTATTTTACTAAAAAAATATTGAAGTAAATAAGGAATAGGTATAGAAATAATCGGTGAGGAATAGAGATGTAAATTGGTAAAGACCTGTATTTTTCGGATCAGGAAAGCTAGATACAACGGGTGCTGCGTAATTAGTGACACAAAAGTTAACTTAGTTTTGCTTGTAATATAATCTTTTTCATTAAACCATATAAATTTATTTTGGTAAATTGAATATTCTAGTTTTATTAAAAAAAAAAAAATTATCCAAAAAAAATGTTAAACGGCCAAGAAAGAGCAGCTCTTCAAAAAAGCGTCAAAAAATTTTTTGTAAAAAACCCAAAAGCGACCAAAGCCGAAGCCGCTAACCATTTTAATTAAAGAAGGAATCGCTCGCAAAACAGAATATAGATATATCAATCGACAGCTTGATGGACAATGTTTAAAAATAAAAAAAAATTCTGGTCGCCCATCATCGTGGACTCAAGAAAAAAAAGCGAAACTTAAAAGGTTGACCAACAATCGAAAAGGTGTAAGTCAAAGAAAGCTCGCACGTAAATTCAACGTAAATCAAGCAACAATTTGTAGACAATTAGCCAAAATGAACATAAAATATCGGAAACGCGAAAAAACACCGAAATACAATGATGAACAACGTCTAAGGGCACAAAAAAGAAGTCGAAAACTTGTCAATCACCTCTACAAAGAACAAAGCGTTTTAATTTTGGACGACGAAAAATACTTTTGTTTTGCTGGTGATGAAATGCCTGGAAACGCCGGTTATTACACGAACGACAAAGAAAAATGTCCAGAAAATGTTCGTTTTGTGGGAAAAGAGAAATTTCCGAAAAAAATTCTTGTTTGGATTGCATTATCTGAGCGTGGAATGTCGAAACCACTCTTCCGGTCGTCAACCTCGGCTGCAATAAAATCCGAAATTTATATCAAAGAATGCTTAGAGGAACGATTGTTGCCATTCATAGATAAGTATCACGATGATTTAAATTACATATTTTGGCCGGATTTAGCTAGTGCCTATAGAGCTAAAGAGGCAATATCGTGGATGAATGAAATGATTAACTTCGTGCCGGTTGATATGAACCCTCCTAATGTCCCCAAAGCCAAGCCAATTGAAGACTTTTGGGGAGTATTGGCTCAGAATGTGTATGAGGGTGGATGGGAGGCCAAAAGTGAACAACAACTGATTCGGCGTATCGAAGCCTGTCTGAAAAAAATTGATTTGACATTTTTACAATCCCTTATGAAGGGTATCAAAACTAAATTGAGATTAATAGCCGATCAAGGCGTTCAATCGATTTACAAAAAATAATTTTTAAAAAATAAATATTGTGTTATTATTTTTTAAAAATGAAAAATTTTTTTTCTTTTATTTCTTTAAAAATATAAGGCTTTGATTTTTGTGTCACTAATTATGCATCACCCATTTTAAGGAAAAAGTATAGAAAAGTTTGATTTGGAATAGATTTAGAAGAACCCGTATTTTTACAGGTCCGATCTCAGCTAGTTGGTCATTATTAGTCTTTAACATAACAAAACTTTAAGAACAATTGAAATGATGTTTTTTCTCTTTTAAATTGAAAATGAAAAAAAAATGTATATTTATATTTATTTAGAATGTTTGTTGGAAATGACATTTGTGAGCCTTTTGATCCTGAAACTAATGAGTTGTATGAACTTTTTATATTTATTTTATTCAAAGTTGTAAATGAAGTAGTTGTTTATTATATTGTTATTATAAAGCGTGTACACGAAGTAAATGTGAAAGTAGAAAAACAACTAAAAAAAAGTACTCTTCAATTTTTATTTCCAACCAAGTAATAACTTTGATAAAATAATATGAGAAGATTAAATATAAAAAAAAATCAAATTATTCCTGTGGGAATCTAATAAAGTTTCCAACTTTAGCTTTGGTGGTACCCATAAGCTTGTGCACAGAGTAAGAATTGAAGCCATTTGATGCTTTTTATATAATATTTTAATATCTTTAATATTTCTGCAAAGTTTTATTGTTTTTTTCATTTTTCTTTTCAATAATGGCCCAGTACTTTTCAATAACTCTTAATTCTGGGCAGTTTGCAAGATTTTCTGTTATAGGCTCAAATTTCACATTATTATTTTCATACCATTCCAAAGCTAGTTTAAAATAATGAATCGAAGCTAAATCTGGCCAAAACACAGGCCTCTTATCGTGTTAATTAATGATAGGTAAAAGGTGTTTTTGTAACCACTCTTTAACATATATTTGACTCGAAAATGTGGACTGAGAAATATAAGGTGCTGATTTTTTGCCACAACTGCAAATAGCTTGCCAAATCAAGACTTTTTTAGCAAACTTATCATGTTTTATGTATTTAAATTTCTTATCTGCTTTTTCATTAAATTTGGCAATATAATTGATGGCACCAGGAATTTTCAGATGATCGTACTTGATATAAGTTTCATTGTCTTCAATAATACAAAAATTTTTGATTGGTTTTGTTTGAGAAAAACGTTGAATTACATGACTAACAGTGTATAAATGTATTTGCAACACTTTTGCTATCATATTGTAGCTACTATTAGGATTTTCAAAACATTTTTGCATAATTTTTTCTCCTATATCTTCTTCTTTTGTCATTTTTAAAACTAATTTTAAGTTAAATCAAAAAACTAATACATTTTTTTGAACACGTTGTAAACAAAAAACAATTGTAAACAATTGAAAAAATTTTAATATAACCACTGAAAAAAAAATTATGTACTTATTCTTTCACATTTATTTCGTGTACATGTTTTAGTAGTTGTATAAATTTTGAAGTTGTATAAATGTATATACAAACTTTTATATAGTAGTTATTTTTATTTTACTTATATGAAATTTAACTTAAT